GAGCGAGGCGGCCGCCTCGCTCGTGTCAATGCAGGGGGAACACTATATATAACAGGGGTAGAAATGAACTTTTGAACACGGGAGTCCAACGGACTCCCTACCCTTAAAAAGAGGGAGTCCGCAGCAAAATGAGGGAGTCCGCAGTCTGAGGTTGAAAATTAAAGATATTAACAATAACACATGTGGTTATTTTTAAGATACATGCGGTTGCATGTCTGCCAAATTTTCTTTGCACATTAGCTCAAAAAATACGGTAATTCCGCGATGCCGTGCTTTGGAACGAAGTAGTATGGCAGAATTTTCACGGAAGTCAGACGGACTCTTGCATATGTCAAATCAGTGAGTCCGACAGTAAATCAGGGAGTATTTGACTCCGGACTCCCGTTAATTTTGCACCCTGTAGAATATATGACGGCTTATAAATGACGACTCAGGCCGGGCTATTCCAATGGATTTACTATGAGAGAAAATCTGGACTTTAACTTCCATGACGAGTTAGACGATGACTTATGCGAGTTTTACTCTACTAACAAATGCATTAATGTCATGTTATTGTTGGCCTTAAATTCTCTGTTAAACCTTCTAAATAGGCTGCATTTCCTCTATTTCATAGAAAGAACACGTACAGCTACGTATGCCGAGTTCGTGGCTGGTAAGTTCAGTTAGAGATTATTTTTGCTGAAACTCTTTTTAGTTAACGCCAATTTCGCTATAACTTAATCGTCAGTGAATGCTGGTACTGTATTATACTGGAGTTTGCACGCGCTAATCACAATATTTTATGTTTCCCTAGAACCTAGAACCCCACTAGAACCTAGAACACCGCTGGAACCTCTGGAACCTCTGGACTAGCACTCGCAGAGTCGCTGATGGTAAGTTAAAGTTTGTCATAATTAGGTTAATGGTTTTAGCAGACTTGATGACAAGAAGTTACGATAAATGTGTGCATCAGAGTTTGCTGTGGCAATAGTTTGCAAACGTGTACATCTTATTATCAGAATAATAATTCCCAGTATAAATTGTTGCACCTGCATAAAAGGAAGAACAAGCAACATAAAATATATGTTTGCTCGTTCTAAACCATGCAGGTGGTTTATTTTACGGAAAACCATTTACAAAAGTATTGTTAAATAACAATGTGCTATATTTATATACACTGTTTCCAGTGTTTGCTGCTCACAAAAGACGAGCAGAATAACATAGAAGGACCCATTTCCCATCAAAAGCGAAAAGGGCTAAGAAAGATTATGTTAAGGTGATGTATTTAAAGAGAAGGGTATTACTGACTTTTTTGGGTCCATATGTTGTTTTACACATCTAGTGTAATAATTAGTGATGGTTATGGCCATCGTATTCATTGAAGATTTACTTTCTATGACCATAGATCAATGTCGGTGTAGCCGAAAGAGATGCCTGCACTCCTAGACTGCATCTAAGCTGATCTAGTCTGGCAGGTTACGTATCGTGGTGTCTAAATATTCTACGTTACAAATACAGATGTAAACGACGTTCTGGATTCTGGGTTCCACAATTCTGGAATCCACGATTGTGCATTCCAGGATTCTGCATTCAGCGTTCTGGATCGCACGGCCATTGCGTTTCAAATACATCGACATATGTCTTCCGGATGGTTTCCTCTGCGGGATGAGTATCTGCATCATTGCCACTGTGGATTTCCTCGTCGATGACACCTTCATTTTTCCACTTGAACAGCCTCTGACACGTGGCGTATTGTCCAGCTTAAGAGAGTCATAGTTACTCCCGCCGTTTACCCGCGTTTCGTTGAATTTATTGACTTTGCCATTCCGATAACTGGCCAGAAATTACATTGCAAGAACACGGACGATCGGCCATCGCAATGCTTTCTTTTAATTAGACAGTCGCATTGCGCTGCTGCGTACCAGTTGTAAGTGCGCTGTTGGATGCCGCACGAAGCGAACTGCACAAGACGGTTGCACAGCTGAGGGAATCGACGGAAAGGGTTCCGTCGGTCGCAGAACTTTTTTAAGTAGACAGTCTTTTAAGTAGAAGAGTCTTTTAAGTAGACACTGCGACATTGCGGTGTTGCGTAGTCCCCGTGCGGTTCCACACCCGCTTTCTACCACAGCCCGACCGGCCCAGCCCTTACAGGCAATCCTTTTGCCCAAGTTACGCATATGGCTTGCCGACTTGCCTTACCTACATTGTTGCACGACACGTGCTGCGGATGTCGGTGCGATCCGGCACGGAAATCACACTGTCTCCCTCGCATTGTCAAGGGTCGACGGCAATGCACCGCACACCGCAACAGCCGCGGTGCTTTACAGAAACAACATCCTAATCTCCGCACAAAACAATTCCAGGGATTGCGCCCCTTATAAAGAAAAGAGAAATATTCCCGGGACTACCGCCGAACTTGAACTTTGGCTTGCTCTGTTTCTGCTTTTGAAGTAGCACGTCTTTTCAAGTTACCATCACATCAAGACGATGACATCAAGTCATCAACACGAGCTGTCAAAAGTGTACAGCTCAAAGATACATTAACAAACCAGTGAGCCATCGTGAATTTCCGACGCTAACATGATTTCCATAAAGCATCATGACATAAATAACGCTTGCATGATGCAAGACGCTGCTGCGACTTTCTTCAGCAAGTCGGTTAAGAATTATAGAAAAGCAGCGACAACATGGCGACATCGCAGCATGACGATTGCAGTAGCAGCCAGTACTAACGAGTACAGAATGCCTGCGCGACCTCTCGCATGTTATATTTCCTACCATTTCATCTTACATACTCTTAGTCGTAGACCAGTGACAAAGATGGTTATTACCATTTCGTATGTGACGGCACAGTTGTGTAGTTGACTTCTCTCAGGAACTTTCTTGACATCATAAGGTTTACAAGACGTGACTTTTCACGACGCAGCATTCTAATATGCGGTCAACTGTGAAAGTAGCAAGAGCGATATATATGTATAGAAGAACAAATTCATTACTTATTTAATGAAACTGCCTCCGCTATTACATAGTTTGCATTTGTTCGTTACCGGTACTTTTCTACATGCTGATCGTCATGGGAATTTATGATCCTTCCCATTCTCGTCGTGTTCTTCTTGAACTGAACTATTGCGTTTATTTTCTGAAAAGGCGATATCGCATTTTGTTAATGCAGAACCGTTTCAGTGCACAAATATGACATAGCTAGGTTGCCTCGTAAAATGGCATTTCATGCACTACTGTCTGTTGAAGCGGGAGAGGCGGCCTATGATTTCTAGAAACAGATGTGATATGACATCAGGCTTTACGCTGAAGAAACTAGAAAAGCTGGCCAATCTATCTTGTAGTGCATTGAGGTCTTCCTTAGTCGCTACACCATACAAAACCTTGTGCATTTTCCCCACAAACGGAAGTAATCATCTCTTCATACGATGGTTAATAAACATCGATGATAATCCATCAATGCGTTCAGAGGAACGCTGATAGCGTGCTTCGAAATCAAGCGCATGCTTTCTGATAAATGCGCCTATAATGTCAGCAAAACGTTGATCTTCGAACTCGGTGTTGAAAACATGTGTCGTATTAAACAGTGAAGTGGTATGAGGGGCTGCTACATAGTTAGTTCTCTGCACCTTCTTATCCATCTTCTTATTTACATCCATCACAATCCATCTTGTAATCCATCTTGTTTTTATCCATCATCTTCTTTTAGGTTTATGCACCTTCTTATTTGCCATCTTTCCACTTCCATTCAATCACTTACTGTGACACTGAGTCCAGTCACACCTTGCCTTGCCTGTAGGCCTACTGCCAAACTTCGGTTACCAATAGCAACCAAACATGTGTCTGTGGTTGAGTTCCGCGGCTTACGTGTGATGTGGAAAATTATGTACATGATTAACGCAACAAGTCAACATCATCACAATTAATGTAAACTCAATTTGAAGTAAAAAGAAAAACTGCTCAATCTTTCTTCCGGCACGGAGTTGGAATAGCTGACGGTTTTTATTTCTCAATTCAGCTGAATTACACTTACAATATCAATTTCTTTCAATTACATAGAAAACCGCCATCTTCAAGGTTCTAAATTGGTAAAACCCAAGGGGTAATGCTAGCCCCCGGGCGCGAAATTTTTTTCCCCACGAGAGTTCCGGACCCACCACAGATAGTGTTTTGTAATATATGGTGTCTATATAAGACGGACCTGGTTGGATTATAG